ATTATGCTGGTAGACAATAGTGTCAATGATTTTAATCTAAATGTCTGGTTATACTGTAGAACCTCGGTAAGTTGAACTTTAAGGGAGACACGAAAAATTCAAATTATCATACAAAGGGTTTTTAAAAGGTTTTGTAGGTGAACGTTCGACTTGGAGAGTGTTTGGTTCTATCATTATGAAATACAGAGTTGTATTAATAAAAAAAACCTTGTTAGAGCAATAATGTGTATTCTTTACTTAAGAATTTGTAAGTATTAGAAAACAGGAAAAAATCACAGGTTATGTTACCTTATCTGAAATTTTTTACACACAACATAGAAAATATTAAAAAAGTCTGTAAAATTATCGGCAATATTCTTTTAGCCGTTGGAGTCGGTAGCTTACTTATTTTTTCTTCGAGCTGTGGAGTCTATTAATTGAAAATCATTGAGTAGAGTAGGATCAAACATTGATATGTTAGAAATACAGAGGTCAAATATATATATTTTTTTATCTATGAAGAGAAAGTGTGTACTGAAATACCTTGTAGGGAAATACTAATTATTTAAAATTGTCAAGAGCTCAGATTTCGAGTAATGGAGGTATTGGGGCTTGAAGAAAAGGGAACAAGGGTTTTTTTCGAGTAATTGAGGTTTTCAACCTAGCGAGGTTTGACCGTATGTTTATGTCTATCGTTAGAAATGCATGCAAGTGAAATATTATGAGAACGATATGCGTTAGGTTTCATTGAAACGCTGTCCGAATGTAAACGGTTAATATTGAAATAGAAACGGTTGGTATAATGTATGTTTACCCCATTCACCGGGTTCCTTTGTGGAAGGGTGCAGGGCCGAGTAACGAGCATTTACCCACTTGTACGGTACCCCTACACGGCCGTACATGCTTTATTATTTACGACCTCTTCCCTTTCCGCATGTTTTTAAGTTAAGATTTTACTGCGTTTCTATTCATGAGATAAATCCATTGCGAATCTCTGTCGGAGTCGAAGTTTATGTTGTTTTAGGGGCGTATTTACTCATGCATGATTTATAAATTATGCTTTTGTAGAGTTTAGTTTATTATTTAGTATTTATTTAACAACACACTTTAAACTAAACAATTTTATTACAATTATAAGTGTTAATAATTTTTAATCGTTTCCTGTATGTAAATTACTAACCAAGCCATTTATGGTTACTTATAAATTATTAATCCTTATTTAAAAAATCAGGCATAAACATTTTTCACTTATCAAATATTTATATTGAATGAAATTGTAACAAAATATACTAATATCGTTACAATTTCATTTACTTCTAAAAATGATATTTAAATCTATATGTATGCATATTATTTTCCTTAAGTTATAACAGTATTAACTCATTTAAGACTTAAAAGTGCAGAATAAGTTAACATATCACTAGATCTACTCAAAAAAACTCATCATACCATCTACACCATCCTGTTGCTTGGCGGTCCAGCACTATGCGTTTTACTAGGAGTTTTCTTCTTCGCAAGACTTATTTATGGAATCTTCTACCACCGGCGGTTTTACCGGAACAATACGACTTAGGGACCTTTAAGAAACGAGCTTACACCTTTTTTACTGGCTGGCAACGCACCTGCAGTTCCCCTGGTGTTTCAGTTGCCCATTGGTAGTGGTCGAAATTGATTCGATTGAAGGAATCTTATGTTAAGTAGGAGACTAGTGGTGTATTGTATGATAATGATTGTGATAGAGTAGTGACTTGTGAATAAAATATTACGAGAAGTCATAATTTAGAGTACCGAATTAGATAATAATAATGATTAAGAAATGTAAAAGGTGTTGCTATTATTGAAAATTTCCCCCAAATCCTTTTACTAGAGGAATCAAAGCAAACACGGTGAAAGGCAGTAAAAGACATGTTGTCGGGGCTCGTATCACCCCTTCAGAAATTAAGTTTAACATGCCGTTCGACATATCGCGTTACGCAAACATCTATCGGCCTATTTGCCGTGAACCCCGCCTTGGGGTTCGGAAGCACTACTCTTATAAATATTGTTGGCAATAAGTTATCTAGATTGCCTAGAGACTAATTCTAGTCTAATTCTATTAATATTGTTCTTCCATTGTATATACAGTTTTACTATTATGTTCTTTTTGAGTTACATTCATTGTAATAAATTAGTATATTGACTTTTTACGCTAATAATATAAAAGTCAAGGCTGTTTTTACTTTAGCTTTTGATCGATAGTTTTAAAAAGCTTGACTTAATTTTTGTGCTTTGTATTTCTCTTCGTTGTTTTGTAAATATTTATTAATATTTAAAAATATAGTAAACAAACGTTTAAAATCAGATAATGGTATTTTTCTGATCTATAATAAATTTATTACGATTTGTATTTATGTTTATTTATTCAAAACTAGCTGTACTTCGCGACTTCGCCCGCGTGTAATTTAGGGTTTTAATTATGTTGCGCGGAACCCTAATTCTTTTTCTAAAATATAAGTAGCCTAAGTTACTCCTTATGACATCAGCTATCTGCCAGTGAAAGTCCCGTCGAAATCGGTCGAGCCGTTTCGGAGATTAGTCGGAACAAACAGACAGACAGACAGTCAAACATTTTAAAATATTTTTTTTGTTATTAGTATCGTATACATTCATATGCATGTAGTAAAAAGCTGTTATTTTGACATTACAAACAGGCACTTCAATTTTATTTATTTGTATAGATAAAATAATTTAAATAAAAAGTGAATAAATCACATTGAAGAAGTAAAAATTAGGCTCCGCCGTAAATAACACAATTGTAACATTACCTATTCTGTCTCAGATTGTATCAGAGATCAAAGAGGGTTATGTACAGTGGGTCGGAGAAAGTACGAAAGTTAACCAGCCGTAAGCAGCGACAGGCTTGTTATTTGTATTTCATTTCGAAACCCATATTACGCCGTGGAGACGTACTCGTAAGATATCCGTCAGACATTATCACGTTGGGTTTTTATTTGAATTTTCTTCTTGTTTTCTGATGTCTGATAGAAGTAGCACATTATTTTTATGTTAGCATTTTTTAATTTTGAAATATATAATAATATAATATAAGAATTAAAAAAATATTAACAGGTACGCATTGATATTTAGCTGTGGTAATCTAGTGCGAATTCTGTCAAAATTATATAATTATTGTAGTGTCGTCGGTTCTTAATATATCTGCAAGGTTTTAAATTATTCAGACGCTCGAAAGTCAGTAAAAACTGAATTATAAAACTAAATTACACACATACATACGTACAAACATGCATATGTATATATTAAACTAAAAACAAAAGCGTGTTAAAAAGAGGCATTGACAATAAGTTTAAAGCTTTTAGAGTCATGCTGCAGCAATATTAGTAGCATAGTTGTAGCACGAATGGGTCGGCTCGACCGGGGAACGACCACGCTCTCACAGAATACCAGCGTAAAATAGCAGCTTAACGCTGCTGTGTTTCGTATGGTGAGTGTAGAGAACCGGAGACCCGTTTTACTGGAAAAGAGGCATTCTATCTTAATGGTATTTTTAAGTTACATTAACAGTGGTAGAGCCACGCGGCAGCTTTTGCTGTCGCACGAATGGGCCAGCTCGAACCGGGGTAATACCACGACCTCACAGAAAACCAGCGTGAAGTAGAGGTTTACCTCTGCCTTTCGCTTGGTGAGTGCAGGTGGCCGGAGGCCCTTTTTACTGGAAATGAGGCATTCCATCTTAGTCCTCACGGGTGACAACGCATCTACATTTTGATTTGTAACAGAGGATAGATGTAGGTGTCTATGGGCCGCAGCAACCACTTACCATCAGGTGGACTGTGTGCTCGTTTGTCACCATTATCCTATAAAAAAATCCTCACGGGTGACAACACATCTGCATTTTGATTCGCAAACGAGGATAGATGTAGATGTTTATGGACCACAGCAACCACTTACCATCAGGTGGACTGTGTACTCGTTTGTCACCCTATCCTATAAAAAAAAAGCTTCGGACATTTTCGTGGTGGTTTTTGAAAATGTATGTCTTTCAGAGTGAAGAAAGTACCTAATATAAGACACAAGATTATTATATCTAGATAAACACATTAAAAATTCTAAGTTTATCCACAGCTTTCTATCCATTTTGTTGTATATAATATAATCCTGATCAGATCTAGCTGTACAGACTACAGACCGTTGAGATACAAGTGATGCCGAGGGAATAAAGAAAGTTGTGTAGTAATTTATTTAATACAACACTTACGTGAGTAGAGATACGACATGTAAGAAGTTAGTATCATCTCAAAAAGCTAATATTAGGGCGTTGTGTAGCCTTGTTAAAGAAAATACGAATATTTTATTGTATTCGCTTGATTTGGCACCCCGTTTCGTCCGCCATTGCTACTGATTGTGCGTGCTCTTTTCGCGCGGAAGTCACTTTGATGTTGCCTTTTGGTTATGACTAGATATATGTAGATGGAACTAGGTATATCAGTAGGCATTTTACATTATGATATAGATTTCTATAGCTTAAGACTTATTTTTTAAGGATACGATTATAAAATTATATTTTAGTCTCGTATTTACAAGCTTAGGTTTATGTTCAGCAGTGTACTTGTGATGTGGTGATGATGATAACAATAAGAGATTTGGCAATGCAAAAACATGATTACATGCCTGTGTTTACAAAACTAGAATAATCAAATTGACACTTTTACAACCTGTAAATTAAATTTTGCTCATTTACTGTGCTTAATTTTGAGGTACTAATGTTTGCAAGCTTAAATATTGATATTTAAAGATTTTTCTGTTTTCAGATACTCCTGTTCAACATGGTATTGTTTGCAAAAACAAGACGTCATTTAGAAAATTGTAAATTTTACTACAAATTTAAAACGAATCGTTTACTCATTGAAGTTATGTGACGGATGCTGTGAACTCTCATGAACTTCTTCTTTTATAAGTAATGATTTAGTGAAAAATTTAAAAGTGATATAATATATGATGATATAAAACTAATTTAGTGGACGATGCATCTATCGAGTGAAGTGAGTTCGACTACTAACGGGCTTGGGCATGAAGCTCCATCTTCCAGTTACGGAGGGAGTGGTCTTCCAAGTCAGCCACTTACAGCAGAGCTTCTAGCAGAGAGAACTCTTGAAGGGCTACTGGCTGATCATCCGGGCGAGCTTGTAAAGACTGGAAGCCCTCATGTGGTAAGGAAAACATTGGACATTTTAAAATCCTCGTATTAATCAAGTGTTTAAAGAAATCTAAGCCAGGCTTGAAACTAAAGCTACAAGCCTCCGCTTTTTGGCTCCTGGTCATTTTTATATTATCATTTTATAATATTTTTTGTAATAGAAGTAAGGTTACAAACGAGCACACAGCCTACCTTATGGTAAGTGCTTAGGTAGTTTATCTATCTTTGATTAAAAATCAAAATACAAACGCTTGTATGACTTGGTATAATCACGAAGTCTATGGGTCAGGACCGTGTTTTGTGGCATTCCTTGGGGGAGGCCTAGGTTTGGCAGTGGATTTGCGAAGGACTGTAATAATGATGACATAAATAAGCTTCGCTACCTATATACTTTTAAATTACAAAAATGAACGTGTTTTTGAAATTTCCTTAAGTTTAATATTTCTTATATAATATATCTAAATGTTTTCAAATGCTTCAATTTAACTTTATTTTTGAATAAAGATCTCATGACTTAGTTTAGACTCTAATTATTTTAATTTTTTATAGTAACAGCATTTATTTCACGATAAGTATATTAAGATTCTGCATTTGAGGTTCAGCGTGATCAGAAATATTTTTGGAACGAAGTTTCTTATCGGACGGTACGGGTTTGGCGGATGGGAGCTAGGCAACAAAAAGTGTAACATTTTTTCGTCACTACCCCTTGTGTCATAGTGTATTTTATTTTAAATGGCGCTTCATTTTAATATACGCTAGTAATACATTTATTTGTATTTGTTAATCAATAATATAATACGTTTATCAATAATAAGTAACTTCGTTCCAACCGAGTGTTCCACGACACTCACGCATGTTTTTAATTTTAGAAATAATCAATTGTGCAAAACATATGGCAACTACGAGTACCATTTGGTACCATATGATCAATGTCCAATACTCTAAATAAAATCTTATACTGTAAATATCGTAAGAGTAGACAAAGGAAAAGGAAAATACAATAGAAAATACAATTTGTAATATTTTCTACAGGTGGTATAATAAACATCTAAATAATCATCAACGTCATTACAGCTGATCCTGAATATAGGTCTCCTTCAAAGAACAATCAAACCAAAACATCTGTCCCAAGTTACCTACATCCTCCAAAGAATCCTCCAAAGAACAACCAAAACTAAAACATCTGTCCTGAGTTAGCTGCATCCAACAGTCTCTTGCGTGTTTTATAAATGTTCACCCTACAGTCAAAGCTGCCACTTGAGAACCCTAGGAAACTCATTTTGCACCCTGGGAATAGCTTCTCAGATCAGAGAGACTCACATTCACCTCTGCTTAATACTCCCTTGGGTTTGTCTCTTTAAAGATTGATATAATATATTCTGAAAGAATTATATACTTATTGGTTGTTAAAATTAGTTTCTTGATTTTTTTTTATTTTAGATTTATATTCTATAGATTGAGGCTGAACGTGGCATTCTACAATAATGTTGAAATGAAAATTTATTACATTTAAAGTTTTTTAGTGTTTCTTTATTCTGGCCGTCTGTTTTAAAATTTTACCTACCGTATCAGTTTCATCGTTTTTCTATTATCACCGTTTCTCTCAAATGCATTTAGCCATTTCACCTTTATCCTTACATCCTGTGCTTCCTGTTTCTCATTTACCAATCTATCTCACTCGCATTTGTTACAATATACCATTTAACTTGGATAACTAACATCTGTAATAGATATCAGTTATCCTATCTTCGTATTTTGACAATTAAATGTAAAACTTTTATACAGGTATGCACAGTTTTGCCGCCCCATTGGCGCTCCAACAAAACGCTGCCTGTGGCGTTTAAGGTCGTGGCGCTGGGGGACGTCGGCGATGGTACCCTGGTTACAGTCCGCGCTGGTAACGATGAAAACTGCTCCGCTGAGCTCAGAAATTGCACGGCAGTCATGAAGAACCAAGTTGCAAAGTTCAACGACCTGAGATTTGTCGGCAGGAGTGGCAGAGGTAAGCGAACTTTCTTAAGTGTCTTCAAAAATGGCTTCTACTGTCTAACATAATTTAAATATACTGTTATTGTGAATAACTTGTTTTCGATTCGAAGTATCTCTTGAAATAAAATAAAGAAAAGCTTATTCGACGATTAAACCATTTTCATAAATAAAAGTATGTTGCAGTATATATGTATACAGAAAACATGGTCGTGGTGAAATGTATGAGAACCATAGTAACGTTATGATCTTATGATGCTTTGTAAATGTAATATGTAGGGTCAATATTCCTAAGCAGATTTATTATTTTTTTTTGTATCGTGATTGGGGCTTAAGATATTATGCTATCGGTAAGAGAGCATAATTTTTTGAATAGAAACCTTTGAATGAGGTTTTTAACAGATCAATTACCCTCATTGACTTAATATTCCAACAACAACAATAAAGAGGAGATCTGTTGAAATATTCAGGAGCTCAGGCGCCCGGAGCTTTGTTTTTTGAGTGCTTGCTCTGGGGAGAGGGGGAATTTTTATGAGTGGATGTCTGCATTATTAAAAACATTAAGATATGTTATATAGGTAATATTAAACTTAAGTATTAAAACTATAACCTCTATCGATTTAAATGCTAGAAATGACTCCATTAGAGCTGAACTTTAAATCGTCAGAAAAATTAATCAGTCTTAAAAAGTCTTGGCAGACAGACAAACGGACGGATGAATTATTTTAATATAAGTTTAAATTTGAGTATGTAAATTAATATAAATCTATACAAATAAATAAAATTGAAGTGTCTGTTTGTAATGTCAAAATAACAGCTTTTTACTAAATACATATGTATGAATATACGGTACTAGTAACAAAAAAAAACTATTTTTAAAAGTTTTGCCTGTCTGTCTGTCTGTTTGTTCCGGCTAATCTCCGAAACTCTTGGACCGATTTTGACGGAACTTTTACTGGCAGATGGCTAATATTATAAGGAGCAACTAAGGCTACTTTTATTTTAGAAAAAAAATTAAGGTTCTGCGCAAATAAACTTTAAACCAATGAAATCCAATCGTAATAAATAGAGAATGTAGACTTCGTCTGCGTGGAGACAGCAAGTAATATAATAATTTTGCTCACGTTATTCAAGAACAAGTAAAATCTGTTTTTATATTTTAGACGTGGTAGAGCCATGCTGCAGCTATATTAGTAGTATAGTTGTGACACGAATGGGTCGGCTCGACCGGGGAAGGACCACGCTCTTACAGAATACCAGCGTAAAATAGCAGTTTAAAACTGCTATGTTTCGTATGGTGAGTGTAGATAACCGGAGACCCTTTTTACTGGAAACGAGGCATTCCATCTTAGTCCTCATGGATGACAACTCATCTGCATTTTGATTCGCAAACGAGGATAGATGTAGATGTCTATGGGCCACAGCAACCACTTACCATCAGGTGGACTGCGTGCTCGTTGGTCACTTTATCCTATAGAAAAGTTAGTTTATAATAATAGTTTTTGGAAATACATAAAAATAATTGAACTGTAATGCTACTTCGACTTTCATCGTTACGGCCCATCACAAGCCCGCTGCTGAACACAGGCCACCCCCCATAGATTGCCACATACTAGTGTCCCGAGCAACCTGCTTTAATCGAATCCCAGCACTGCGCTAGCCAGTATGAGCCTGTCACTCGAGAAGTTATCTTACCCATCAATTTTAATTTCTTCGAGCTATATGGCCGCCGTCAATAGCCACTTCCGACTACTAATCTGTTGATGTTAGTTACTCTTGTTCTTCTGCGGATAACCTCGTTACGAATTCTATCATCCAAACAGTTGTTATTAATGGATGCACTTCTTCCGGATCGGTAGGATCTATGGGTTAGTTTATATTAATGACTTACCTTACTTGGTAGGGAATAACCATGATATGGTATTATTTGTTGATGATACTTCGTTGATTTTCCAACTAAAAAGGCAATTATTGAAATATAACGAAGTGAATAATGCTATATCAAAAGTAATACACTGGTTGTAAAATGTATTAAATTCACTACACCTAATGTTAAACAGGTTAATACCAATGTGCTTTTCAATGGGGAGGAGCTGCGCCTTGTTGAATCCACTGTTTTTCATTGTATTACAGTTGACGCGAAACTTCAATAGGGCCCTCGTATATCTAACTAGCTAGCAAACTTAGTTCTGCAGCAAATGCTGTAAAAAAATTAGATGTATTGAAACAGATAGTTTAGTTTATTTTGGTTATTTCCATAGCATAATGTTATATGGAATCTTGCTTTGGGGTAATGCGACTGACATTGAAACTATCTCTGTTTTGCAAAAGAGAACCCTGAGAACAATTTATAGCCTATAGGTCCGACGGAACCCCTTAAAGAAAATTTTAAAGAAATAAATATGTTAACTTTGGCCTCTCAATATATTTACGAGAACTTATTGTATGTACACAAAAAAAAATAGTTTTATTAAAAATAGTGATATACATTCTGTATAATATATTAGGAACAAGCACAAGTTAGTTACACCAGTTACTCAAATCCAAAGAGTCAGAAATTCCTTCATGGGGCAATGTATACGCTTTTACAACAAAATCCCAGAGAATGTACTTTTAGATCTTCTAAAGAGTACATGACTGATAATAACCCCTGGAAATGAGGTGATCACTACCATGCTGTTTCTAAATGTTTTCGTAACAATTGTATAAAATATTATATTGTAAATTGTGCTTATTTTTAAAAAAGTGCCACTGGGTGTCTTGCTGGTTCTTCCCAGGATAAAGTTTTTTTTACGAACCAGTGGTAAAAGTAAAAATGATTTTCAATAAGTATTATGTACTATAATCTATATTAAATAAAAATTATTCTATTCTATTCGGGCAGATCCCTCTCAATATCTCACTGAGTGATAGACTTTTAGCTTTCCCCTACGGCCAAAAGCAAAAACTGTAATGCTATTTTAGTTTAGTTTAGTTATGTCCAGGCATTTAATCATGCAATAAAAAGTAAAATAGCAGTTTAAAACTGCTATGTTTCGTATGGTGAGTGTAGATAACCGGAGACCCTTTTTACTGGAAACGAGGCATTCCATCTTAGTCCTCATGGATGACAACTCATCTGCATTTTGATTCGCAAACGAGGATAGATGTAGATGTCTATGGGCCACAGCAACCACTTACCATCAGGTGGACTGCGTGCTCGTTGGTCACTTTATCCTATAGAAAAGTTAGTTTATAATAATAGTTTTTGGAAATACATAAAAATAATTGAACTGTAATGCTACTTCGACTTTCATCGTTACGGCCCATCACAAGCCCGCTGCTGAACACAGGCCACCCCCATAGATTGCCACATACTAGTGTCCCGAGCAACCTGCTTTAATCGAATCCCAGCACTGCGCTAGCCAGTATGAGCCTGTCACTCGAGAAGTTATCTTACCCATCAATTTTAATTTCTTCGAGCTATATGGCCGCCGTCAATAGCCACTTCCGACTACTAATCTGTTGATGTTAGTTACTCTATTAGTTATACTATTTTAGTTTAGTTTAGTTATGTCCAGGCATTTAATCATGCAATAAAAAGTAAAAGCGGTCAATTACCTTGATTATGCGTCGGCGTCGCGACGTCTGCACTTATAGTGATTCTGAGCTCAAGCGATGTGGCGGTCGATTACACAAACGCAATTTAAATTTTTCAATAGTCGCCAATAGTGTTTTTTTACTTTAGCTGAACTCATAAATAGAGGAGATTTACAATTTGATGGTACGTTTTTTGTATGTATATTAGGCGATGTCTTGCTCAATTATTTTATACTGACGTTTTCATTTAATTTAATAAGATATACTTACTTCAGGGGAAGTTCCATATAAATTTGGACAATATTCCACGCCTAAGGGTAGTATTACAGGGGATGAAGGTTTTAATACAACTACTTTTCAAAATCATCAAAAGCGAGATCGGGGTTTCCTGGCCTAATAAAAAGTGGCATGTCTGAGGGCTGTTATTCTTTCAGAGCTCGGGTCAACTGCCAGAAGGCAGTTTAAGATGGCTGGAGGATCCAGCACACATTATCCCACATTATCTTGTCTAAATTCGGCATGCGCTGTTTCACCTCGTTATGTAGGTTGCGCATTCGAAATTTGTTATCTATTGTACGATAGTGATCGTATTGTCTTATAATAATAATAATAATAATAATAATTCTTTATTTCAGATATCAAAGATCCATAAGTTGTTAGTATGACTTATATTAGGTTAGTAATTGAGAACATTAAATAAATTTAATTAAATTAAATCAAAACTAAAATCAAATCTATACCCAAAATTAAATTACAATAAAATCAAAAATAAAAATAAAATTTAATTCAATTTAAATCAATTCAATATAACTTAATTCGATTCTTTAATATATTAATTACTTGAATAAAATTAATCTATAGTTTAATTCATGTATCTGCCACCCTCTGGGGCACCGGGCACATGCATTTGTAACCAGTGCCGCAGAAGGGGGCTGTCAGGCTTATCGCTGAGCATGTTCAGGATGGTGTTGGCGCTCCCCCGCGTACGGAGCATCAGTGAGGCGATGCGGCGTCGCAGCACGGCGTGGAAGCCGTCCGTGTGCGCGTGCGCAAACATCGCAGACGCACTACAGCAGCGCGGGAGCGCCACCAGCACCCTGAATGCGTTATTATATTGTACTCGGAGAGCGTTGATGGCCCGCTACGTGTAGTTGACCCACAGATTGCAAGTGTATAGAGTTTGGCAAAAGGCTTTAAAGAGAGTTATCTTTACTCCAAAGCTACACCGCGCGAATCTGCGTGCCAGCATATTACAGCGGACCGCCATCGCCCTCCTTTCCCTTTCGATGTCAGCATCGTCTTTTAAATCCTCGGTAACCACATGGCCAAGATATTTAAACGCATTTACCCTGCCTAAAGCGACACCATTTAGCAGCACACGTGGCACATCTCCCAGCTTACGACGCCTAGCTTGAAAGATCAAGAGCTCGCACTTTT